CCACAGAGAAGTGTATGTTTTCTTTTTTTGTGTAAGAAATTTTCTTTTGCTCTTTCTTTAAATTTAAAAGAGAGCCTTACAATTAATTGTCCTACAATCGAGGGATTATAGCGTGTATAATAGAAATTATTTCTATTTTCCAGATTATGTCATTTTTTATCTGCTAGGAAGAGTCATAAAGCCCCACAATTTTATTGTAATTTATTTGAAATCCTCCATTTATTTCTGAGATTTTGGCTTATATTTTACTTTAGTAAATTTAGGTATATAAAAATTTGTCACAATTTATTCTCAATTATTAATGAAGTTTTTTAATGTTAAAATTCTCTTTGTTCTATGTGATACTCCTTTTAACTTTTCTTTCTGCTTAATATAAGCACTTGCTTTCTTGTGTATTTTTTGGGATAGAATTTTTATGTTCATCTTTTTATTTTAAAAAATAATGTGATTTAGGTGTTCTACTTTTAAGCAGTAGCATTTAACTGGTATTACACTTTATGCCAGATGAAGTGTCATCTTTTATAATGGGACTGTGGCCCTTTCACATTTACTGTAATAACTGATAAGTTTCATAGGAGTCACTTAGGACCTGACTTTGGGGCAGATGCATAGGTGCTTGACTACAGTAATAGAAAAGGTCCAGGAAATGGAAGTAAAGGCTACCAAAACAAAATACCACAGACTTGGTGTCATAAACAACAGAAGTTCATTTTCGTACAGTTCTGAAGGTGTAGTTTTTGGACAATCAATGTGTTAGCAGGTTTGGTTGCTCATGTGGCCTCTCTCCTTAGCTTACAAATGGCTGCCTTTTTACTACATCCTCACATGGTCTTTCCTATGTGCATAGATATCGCTGCTGTACCCCCCTCCTCTTGTAAGGATATCAGTTACATTGGATTAACTCCATCTTTATGAGCTTTTTTAACCTTAATTACCTCTTTACAGGCCCTATCTCCAAATACAGTAGGATTTTATACAGAATGAAATAATCCTGGATTGTAGATGGGTGGACAGTTGGCTTTTAAAAGTTCAGATCATTGAGAGAATCAAGATGGTGGAGGAGTGAGTGGAAGTCACACTGACCTCCTCCCAGGACCAATCTGGAATTACAACTAAATTGTGGAGAAATCACCTGGAACAAACAACTGAACAATAGTGAGAGAGAAGCCTTATAACCTCGGAGACAGAAGAATCACTTTTAGGGCAATCTAATTGGTAAGACTGCGGTAGACTCTCAAGAAGGCATGCGGGGCGCCCATGGGCGGCAGAACCAGAAGGATATTGAAACGGCCAGTTGGATCCCCCTGAGAAGAGTGGGTCTAAACCAAAAGCGGGTATCTCCCACCTATAACACCAGAGCCCAAAAAGTACACAGAAAACAGCTAGCTGTGAAAAGTGACATGGTTGTCTCTGCCAGAGACAGGCAGATAGAGACACAAAGTGCCATTTAAAGGGCCAACGCATAAATTTTTATTTGCAACCACTTACCCTGGTCTCCAGTACAGGTGGGGGCAAAGTGGGCTGCAGATGCCTGAGAAAAGACTGGGGAGGGAGGCTTTGGGGAGAGAACTGAGAGAGTAGCTGGCGGGATCCCAGTGCTGACTCATTCCCCATATGGCAGCAGCCATCTTGCTCAGGCAGAAACCACTCCCCTGAGCAGCAGTAGCATCAGAGGACTCAAGAGCCCTGCCCCTAGGTGGGATTCCACTCTGCCCTCTGCTGTCTAAGCTGCCTTATTAGTGCAGACTAGACTAACAGCTGAAAGAGACAGCCACAAACAGTAGATTCCTAGAAGTCTCAAACAGACTGCCTAAAGTCAGACAGGGACAGCATCTGACATCATCAGAGGCAGATCCAGAAAGGAAAAACAGCGGTCTCCTACTATAAAAGTTCACAACACAAAGTCAGGAAATCAAGACAGATCAATTAAAGAAGCAGAAGCAAAAAAGAAGAGTCTCACAAATAATGGGAAGACAAAGAAATACCCCCCCACTCAAAGGGAAAGGAGAAATCACCAGAAAGAGAACTAAATGAAATAGAGGCAAGTAAACTATCAGATATTGAGTTCCAAACAATGGTTCTAAGGAAGCTCAATGAGCTCAGTGAGCTCGGAGAGAGTTACCAAAAAAAGTATAGAGAAACTATGAGTAACTTACTGCAAACTATACCAGCATGAAAAAGGACATAGAAACTATCAGTAAGAGACAAGAGAAAATAAAGAATACACTTTCTGAATTGAAGAACACAGTAGAAGGAATCAAAAGCAGGCTAGATGAAGCTGAAGAACGACTCAGTGAGCTAGAGGACAAGGTAGGAAAAAAAGCTCCCAGAAAGAGTAAGAAAATGAAAAAAGACTCAAAAAGAATGAAGAGGCATTTAGGGAAATGCAGGACAACCTGAAACGTAATAATATCCAGATAATAGGGATACCAGGAGGAGAAGAGGAGGAAGAAGGGCTGGAGAACCTATTTGAAAAAGTCATGATGGAAAACATCCCTAACTAGAGGAGAGAAAAAAGTCACAGAAGTTCAGGAAGCACAGAGGGTCCCATGCAAGAGGACCCCAATGAGGTCCACTCCAAGACACATCATTATTAAAATGGCAAACAGCAAAGACAAACAGAGAATCCTAAAGGAAGCAAGGGAGAAAGAGGTAGTAACATATAGGAGGGCTCCAATATGGCTAGAAGCTGACTTCTCAACAGAAACACTGCAAGCTAGAAACTGGCGAGGAATATTCCAAGTAATGAAAAGCAAAGGTCTGCAACCAAGACTGCTCTACCCAGCAAGGCTCTCAATTAAAATGGAAAGTAAAATAAGGAGTTTCCCAGACAAAAGAAGGCTAAAAGAATACACCTCCACCAAACCAGCATTACAAAATATGCTAAAGGGACTGCTTAAAATGAAGAAAAAGAATCTATGAATATCCAGTTCCTTTCAGAGTTGTCAATACTTGATATTACCAATATTTTTAATACATATTAATCTGATTGTGATGGTGTGTTATTTTAATTGTTTATTATTTGTTGAATCTAAGCCTGTTTTTGTATATTTCTTGCCTATTTCTATTATTTTTAAAAAGCTTTAGATGACTTTTTGGTATTCTTCATTCATTATCAATTAAAGGTTTGTAGAATTTTCCCTAAAAAAAAACAACAGTTGTTAACTCTTTTTTAGATGTGTGGCAAATACTTTCCCATTCTATTACTTGTCCTTTAACTTTTTTTATATGTATATTACTATATAGTCTTAAATGTTTAATATAGTCATATTGTCAATATTTTACTTTATAGCTTCTGGGTTTGAATATTTTACTTCAGGTCATGAAAAGTATTAGTTCTATTTTCTTCTAAAACTCCTTAGCTTCTACATATTGATTTTTAACTCACCTGAATATTTCTTGTATAATGTGTGAAATAGGGCTCTATATTTGTTTTATTTCAAGTAATAGTGGTCTATGCACCTTATTTGTTGGATAAACCTTATTTTCCCTATTGATTCAAAATATCAATTTAATCATATGTTACATTGTTAGATATATGTTTGTTTCTAGAATGTTCATTATATTTCATTGATCTACTTGATTATTTCTGTGCTGGTGTCATGTTGTTTTAATTGTTGAGACTTTATAATGGTTTTAAATTTTTTAATATTTATAATTGACTTTGACTTTTAAAAAGAAATAAATGAAGTCAATCTGCATTTAAGAAGGGAGGAAGGAAGGAAGGAAGGAAGAAGGAAAGAAAGATGGAACTTCTACCTTTTGCGACAACATGGATGGAACTGGAGAATATTAAGCTAAGTGAAATAAGCCAGTTGGTGAAAGACAAATACCATGTGATCTCACTTATAAGTGGAATCTATTCAACAAAATAAACTAACAAACAAAATAAACCACAGGCATGGAAACATGGAGCAGACTGAAAGTGACCAGACAGGATGAGGAAAGAGGACAATGGTGGAAAGAAAGAGAGGGGACTAGACAAAGAACATGTATGAATGACCCATGGACATGGACAACAGACTGGGAATTACTGTGGGAGTGGGTGGTGGGGGTGGGATGGGTGGAGGAAGGTAAGGGGGGGGGAAATTGAGACAACTGTAATAGAATAAACATGATTAAATTTTTTTTAAAGTTCAGATTATTGATCAAGGAAAGAATGTTCAGGTAGATCTGGTACAATCTGCAACTGGCTTCTCAAATTGTGTGGTCGTTTATTGCCTTCAGCTGACTAGAACCAGTTGGGAAGAAATAATACATTTAATGTTGACATCTCCTCAACAAGAGGTACTATAAGAAGAAAATTTGTCTTTATATTAATTTCTGAGGAAATTTTAATTTAGATTAATTATGGGTATTACCAGTGCTTGAAGTGGTCAGGAGCACCAGGAAAGAGCATCTCTTAAGGCTGTTTGTGTTGCCCATTGCTGAAAACTTCCTGCCTTGTAGGAATTCTGGCACAATGTAATATCTTCTAATAAATATTTGTTAGTGAGTGGGAAAACTGGTTCACGTATCTAACACATGATCTCTTTAGCCATTAGGAGTTCTCCAGACTGCTCTCTCAGTCTATCCCTTTGTCTTTGTAGGGAAATAGGGAAAGATAGGACATTTCCACATGGATCCTCTGGTTAGAGATCTCTCAGTCAAAGAAAATACTTGTAGACACAGTTTATATTAGTGTGGATGGTTGTGAGTTAGAAGATAATTGTAGTGGAGGGAGGGAGAAGACTTACATATTGGCCCTATTTACGAAGCCAAATCTCCTGTGATGCTTTTATAGTTTGATATATAGGTTTAGGAGTGGATTTTCTGGATTGTAATGGAAGGTCTTGTGATATGCTGGAAAAGTAGTCATGTTAAGGAAGGTCTTATTTGGGTAGCACTTAAGTTTTAAGCATTTTGAAGAACAGGAAATTGAGTCTCAACATCAGAATTGGCATAATTACTTGGGTTGCCCCAATGAGTCTCAGTTCTGACTTAGACTTTTCTCTCTGCAGGAGAGCCAAAGGCAGAACTCCACCTCTGTGCTTTCTGTCCTCCGGATTTCTCTAGTCAGAAGTTACATGTGCAGCATGTGCTGTGTAATCATGCCTCCTGGATGTTCCCATGCTTGTGTGCAGAAAATCACATTCTGTCAGGTGATCTGTGCCAGGGGGACCAGAAAAAGCAGCAACAAGCCTCTGATCCAAGTTCCTGGAGTGATAAAGCAGAAGGTCAAGAGAGAGAAGGGACCAAGCCTTCATTTGGAAAGACAAAGAAAAGAACTTTAGCAGCATTCTCTAAGCCACCCCAAAGGCAGCCAGTCAGCTCTGGGAATGGTATCAGAGGGGTGGAATTAGAGGCCAGTCCTGCTCAAATGGGGAATCCTGAGGAAACAGACAAATTATTGAAGAGGATTGAAGTCTTAGGATTTGGAACAGTCAATTGTGGAGAATGCGGACTGGGCTTCAGCAAGATGACAAACCTGCTTAGTCACCAAAGGATACACTCAGGGGAGAAGCCGTATGTGTGCGGGGTATGTGAGAAGGGCTTTAGTCTAAAGAAAAGCCTTGCCAGGCACCAGAAGGCACACTCAGGGGAGAAACCTATTGTGTGCACAGAATGTGGACGAGGATTTAACCGGAAGTCAACACTCATAATACACGAGAGAACACACTCTGGTGAAAAGCCTTATATGTGCAATGAATGTGGGCGAGGCTTTAGCCAGAAGTCAAATCTCATCATACATCAGAGGACACACTCAGGGGAGAAGCCCTATGTGTGCCGGGAGTGTGGGAAAGGCTTTAGCCAGAAGTCAGCTGTTGTTAGACACCAGAGGACACACTTAGAGGAGAAGACCATCGTGTGCAGTGATTGTGGACTAGGCTTCAGTGATAGGTCAAACCTCATCTCACACCAGAGAACACACTCAGGGGAGAAGCCTTATGCCTGCAAGGAGTGTGGGCGGTGCTTTAGGCAGAGGACAACCCTTGTCAACCACCAGAGGACGCACTCAAAGGAGAAGCCTTATGTGTGTGGAGTGTGTGGGCACAGCTTTAGCCAGAATTCAACCCTCATCTCACATAGGCGGACACACACGGGGGAAAAGCCTTATGTGTGTGGGGTGTGTGGGCGAGGCTTTAGTCTGAAGTCACACCTCAACAGACACCAAAACATACACTCAGGGGATAAGCCTATTGTGTGCAAGGATTGTGGGCGAGGCTTCAGCCAGCAATCAAATCTTATCAGACACCAGAGGACACACTCAGGGGAAAAGCCCATGGTGTGTGAGGAGTGCGGGCGAGGCTTCAGCCAGAAGTCAAACCTCATTGCACACCAGAGGACACACTCAGGGGAAAAGCCATATGTGTGCAGGGAGTGTGGACGAGGCTTCAGTCACCAGGCAGGTCTCATCAGGCACAAGAGGAAACACTCACGGGAGAAGCCTTACATGTGCAGACAGTGTGGACTAGGCTTTAGCAATAAGTCAGCTTTAATTACACATAAATGGGTACATTCAAAAGAGAAGCCCTATGTACACAGAGAGTATGGTCAAGGCTTCATCCAAAAGTCATACCTCATTTTACATCAGATGACACCCCAGGAGGAGAAGCCTTAGGTATGCAAGACTTGTGGGCAAGGCTTTAGCCAGAAGTCTCACTTCAACAAACACAGGAGGATGAAATGTCTCCACCACCAACTGCCACTCCACACTGACCCTGAGACCTAACTGGGGTGATCTTCTGACTCTTTATTCTCTCTTTGCAAGTGAAGATGGTGGCAAGGACTAAGTAATCAAAATTTTCACTTTTATGGAGTAGAAAAATGCATTCCAGAAATGGTCAAAAGTCATTTGGCTTAGTTTACTTTTTTCATACTAAGTCTTTATGTTTTGTGGCCTTTTGTTCTAATAAACTTTGCTTCTTTACAAATCTGTAATATTTGCTGTATACCTCATTTACTCATCTATAAAGATAGGGAATCAGGAGTGGTACAGATATTTTGAATTCCTAAGTCCAATATTCCACAAGAATTCAATTCCTTGCAAGACATAAGCACTGAGTCACTAGTATATTTATTAGAAAGTCTGGTCCCTTGTATAGGGAGAAAACTTAGGAAATACATTCAGGGATTTCAGGTGAGGGGAGTAAATCTTCCAGGTATCTTCCAGAAAACATGGCTTCCTCTAGAGTCCACTTTCATCTGGAACTACTCTCTTCCCTTGGCTTCCGTGACAGCTCCCCTTGCATCTGTCTTCTTAGCTCTCAAATGTCTATTGTTGTCTTTGCTGAATCATCTCCTAACCAACTTTTTTGCTTTTGTCCAACTTTAGTCCCTAGTTCTGCCATCATGGAGCCACTTTAACAATACATTGTCCCAAGAACTCCATTCTCCAGGGGCCTTTCAGTTATGACCAAACAATTCCATAATCTCATAGCCTTGGGTTTCCCATCATACCCATATCAGACCACTGCCAGCTATACTTCCTCACCAGGACTCTAAAAATACAGTGGCCTTTAACAGTGTTCTCTCCTTTGCCCTCCAATAACAGGCTAATACTCTTGAAGCCACACTCCCAAATTAGTCCTGCATTATGACAGTTTAGAACTTACAGTCCTCCTCATCACTCCATCACAGGCCTAGTCTCCATGCCAGCTATATCATAACTGGTCTAAGGTCTCTAAGGCACACACACTAAACAGTTTTCCAATTTTACAAGCCTAAAGATGCATGTTTAAAGTTTCTTAACCATAACCTCCTTCATTGCATTTTGCTTCAAAGATGTTGCCCAAAACAAGTGGTCTTTAATGATCACCTCAAGGATGCAAGTGTAATACCCTTTTTTAGGACTTAAGATTTAAGTGTGCAGTTCCTGGACTCTCAACTACACAAAATGGCTTTTATGAATTTCAATGATATCATCCTACAGCACTCTGACACTCAACCCAAACCTGAGAGGGACTTGACTGGAAGAGCTTTGTAGATGTAGTTTCAGACAACCCATGGCATTTATAATAGAAACACTAGCTTAGTCTGAAAAAGACAAAGAAAAATCCTTTTGGTCAGAGAGACAGGCTAAGAAATGTACTAAGCTGCAAACAGGACATTTCTTATAGAAAAGGAATAACTCAGAGGGTAGACACAAAAGCTATGGAGATTTATTGCCAGGGGCAGTACAGGGCATGAATCAAAGAGCTAGTGGCATGTGCCCAGATAAATTTCTGAAATTCTGTGAACTAGTACCTGCTGTGTGTATACTAGTTCTCCATTTTTTAAATAGAAGCTTGTAAGTAATTATTCCTATCCCTGAATCAACACTGAATGTAAGATAATGCTTTAGTCTCAGATCTTCAGATAAAGTATCATTTATTCACTGACCTGATTTAGATAAAAATCCTGAACTTTGAGCCAATGCCACAATGGGATATGACTTTGAGGGGGTCTTAGGGATGAGTATATATCTCACATGGGATGGATGTGAACTTTGGTGTTCAGAGGGTGGACTGTGGAGATAGTCATCAAGATGGACATCATCAATTCCTTCTCATATAATCTCAAACATATATGATGACATGGAGACCAGTTACCCTCCCCAGGAATCTAGGTTGGCATTAGTGACTTGCTTGATCAGCAGAATTCAGGGTAAGTAATATGGGACTGCTGATGCTATTTCATAAGAAGCTGCTTAGCTTCTTTCAATGATGCTACCATGCTTTGAAAATCTCAAGCCACATAGAGAGGCCTTACGGAAACACTCTGGTCAGCAGCCCCAGCTGAGCTAGCCAACAGTGAACATTGGCTCCAGTTTATGTGTTTGAGCCTTCTTGGAAGTCCCAGTCTATCAAGCCTTTAGACCTCAAGTTAGAACCACTCTGCTGAGCTTAGTCAACCTAAACAACTGTGAAGGATAATGATAGTAAAATTGTTGTCTTAAGTCCTATACTTTAGTGTTGTGTGTTTTACAGCAATAGATAATTGTAACACTTTTATAATATAGGACTAAATTTTCTATGACTCAAAATTTTGAAGCCATAATGAAAATAGGTCAAGGTTGGCTACTTTAAATAAATTCTGGAAGGCAACCCACACCTTCAGCCAAAACAAAAGACAAACTGGAGAGAAATAATGTACTCCATATCACAAAGATATCTGCATAATATTCCTAGACATGGAGTTTTAAAAATTAACGCAACAGATGAGGAGGAGAGGAAGATGGCGGAGGAGTGAATGGGAGTCACGCTGACCTCCCAAGACCAAACTGGTATTGCGATTAAATAGTGCAGAAATCACCTGGAAAACACTGGAACAATAGAGGGAAAAGAGCCTTGGAGCCGCGGACAAACAGTGGATTCAACTCTCACACATCCCAACGGGTTACAAGTGCGGTGCAGGCTCGAGAGGGTGGGCTGGGCGCCCTCAGGCACCAGCACCAGAGGGACATTGAAATGACCAGTTGGATCCCCCTGAGAAGAACAGGGTCTGAACCATAAACCGGGACCCCTAGACTACAGCAGCTGAAACCAGGAAAACACGCAGACAAAACGCAATGCCGAAAAGCTTAGGGGTGCTCTACGCCAGAGACAGGGCTGGAGATGCAAAGAGACATTTAAAGGGCCAAAGCAAAAATTTGCAGTGGCAGCCGTCCTCCTTGATCTCTGGGTAGAGGCAGCAGCAGAGCTGGCTGGGAAAAGATTGGAGAGGAAAACTTTGTGAGGAGAACGGAGATGGTGGCGCCAGAGTCCCAGTGATAACTCACCTTCCACTCTACAACTACCATCTCGCTCAGGCATAAGGGAATCAATTAACCTGCCTTCTGTGCGCTCCGCACACAGCTTGTGTGTGTGCGAGCTGGGGGGCTAATTGCAGACAAGCTGGAAGAAATAAAGTATCCCTGGCCGAGTGGGTCACACAGCTGCATAGAGAGCCTTGAGGAGAGATTAGAGACGGAGGCGTTGGGGAAAGAACAGGAGGAGGAACTGGGTAGTACTGACTCCCTCCCCATTCGGTAGTCTCCATTTCGAGCTGGGAGGAAGCACCCCCAAAGCGCAGAAGCAGGGTGTGGACGAGCCAGACAGCCCACAATTACAATGCAGTCCACAGAAATAGTGGATCCTTGGCTGAAGGGGTCACAGAGTTGCCCAAAGCAGGAGCCAGACACAGACAATAGACTCCTGGAAAGCTCTAACAAATAACCCAAGGTAATTTAGGGTCAACAACTGACATCATGAGAGGCAGGCCCAGAAAGAACACTAAGGAATAAATAAATAAATAAATAAATAAATAAATAAATAAATAAAGACCTGCCTACTACCATAGAAATTTAATTTGCAAAGGTAGGAAATCTAGACTGCCCAATTGAAGCAGAAGTGAAAATAAATAATTAATTAATTAAGAGGCTCTCATAAAAATGGGAAGAAAAAGAAGTTCCCCCCAAATGAGTACAAAAGGGGACTCCCCACAGAGAGAGCTACATGAAATAGAGGGAAAGGAACTACCAGATATTGAATTGAAAACAATGGTTCTAAGAAAGCTCAATGAGCTCAGCTAGCTCAAAGATAACTATGATAAATGGCAGAAAAACTATCAGAATTTCACAGCAACCTATATCAACCTGGAAAAGGACATAGAATCTGTCAAGAAGACACAAGGGGATATGAAGAATACCATTTCTGAATTGAAAAACACAGTAGAAGGAATCAAAAGCAGGCTGGATGGAGAGGAGAGAAGATGGCAGAGGAGTGAATGGGAGTCACGCTTACCTCCTCCCAAAACCAAACTGGAATTGCAACTAAATAATGGAGTAATCACCTGGAAAGCAGTGGAGCGATAGTGGGAGAGGAGCCTTGGTGCCGCGGACAGTGGATTCTACTCTCACACATCCCAACCGGTGAGAATTGCGGTGGAGGCTCGAGATGGTGGGCTGGGTGCCCACGGGCACTGGCACCAGATGGACATTGACAAAGCCAGTTAGCTCACCACGAGAAGAACGGGGTCTGAATCATAAACAGGGACCCGTAAACTACAGCAGGAAAGCCAAGAAAATACAGACAAAACGCAACCCCAAAAAGCCTAGGGGCGTTCTCTGCCAGAGACAGGTGGGTGGGGATGCAAAAAGACATTTAAAGGGCAACTGCAAAAGTTGCAGTGGCAGCCACCCTCCTTGATCTCTGGGTAGAGGCAGCAGCAGGGTGGGCTGGTGCCTGGGACAAGACTGGTGAGGAAAACTTGCTGAAGAGAACTGACAGGGCGGCCGGTGGAGCCCAGATGATAACGCACTTCCCACTCTGCAGCTACCATCTCGCTCAGGCATAAGGGAATCAATTAACCTGCCTTTTGTGCGCTCTGCACACAGCTTGTAGGCATGTGAGCTGCGGGGCTGAGTGCAGACTGGCTGGGAGAGCCTTGAGGAGAGACTGGAGACGGAGGCACTGGGGAAAGAACGGGAGGAGGAACCGGGGAGCCCCGACACCCTCCCCTTTCCGTAGTCTCCATTGTGGGCTGGAAAGGCGCACCCCCAAAGAGGCAGAAGAGGGGCACGCAGGAACCAGACTGCCTGCGATGGAAACAGAGGCAGAACAGGGGGTGGATCCTTGGCCGAAGGGGTCACAGAACTGCCCAGAGACCCCTGAGGAGAGACTAGAAACGGAGGCGTTGGGGAAAGAACGGGAGGAGAAACCGGGGAGTCCCGACTCCTTCTCCTTGCCGTAGTCTCCATTGCGCGGGAAGAGGCCACACCCCCAAAGAGCCAAAAGCCGAAAAGCACACATAGACACCCCAAAAACACCCAGAGCAGGCGTGCACACTTGCACCGAGTGACCAGTGAGCGTTGGCGAGCGTGCGTGTGACCCGCACGGGCTGGTGAATGCTTGCACCG